AAAGAATTAAACAAAACAAATTTTCATCAAGATACACTAGCTTGGAGCTCATTAGCATTGTTAAACTAAGATTATTTCAGCGTACAACCATCTCCTTTGTCAGGTATCATTTTTCATTTTAACAATAGTGTCTTCTTTATTTGTTCTATCTAAATGAAGGAATGGAAAATTGTCAAGTTGCTAAACATAAAGCTGATCTTTGGAGAAGAATGGAAAATTTATAGTTCATGAGTTTGTAAGATAAGTGAAGTTCAAGCTTATAAGATTGAGATGACTCAAGAATTTAGTTTGCAATTGAAGTCCTCATTTGAACTCCAAAGCACACTTGCGGACCATAGAGCTAATGTCAGATATACTAGATTGGATGCAAAGAGTTACTTAAAGGCAAGAAGACAAAGTATGGTTTATCAAGAAGTTGGTTGTGTGATGCAATATTTTTAGCAATAGTTGTTAGAGAATCCATCATTTTTTCATGGATACCAAATGGATGCTAATGAACAAATTACAAATGTGTTTTGGGCTGATGCAAAGATGGTTTTAGACTATGCATATTTTGGTAATGTAATTTCTTTGGACACTATATATTGCACTAATCATGCTAATAGATCTCTTGCATTGTTCACAAGTTTTAACCATTATAGAAGTATTGTGATATTTGGTGGAGTTTTGGTGTATAATGAAACAGCTAATTCATTTAAATGGTTGTTTGAGACATTCTTAGAAGCATATAATCGCAAAAAATCATTAACTATGTTTATTGACCAAGATCAAGCCATGACTAAGGCCTTTTTGGAAGTCATGCCTGAGACACATCATACCTTGTGCACATAGCATTTGATGCAAAATAGGATCAAATACCTTGGTAATTGGATGAAAGGTGGAAGTCATGTTTTAAGAGACTTCAACAATTGCATGTATAAGTTTGATACCTTAATGGACTTTAAGGAAGCTTGGACCAACATCATTTAAGAGTACAATGTCCATGACAATAATTGGATGAACTCACTTTATGCCATAAAGGAAAAAGAGCATCATATTACATGAAAGAAGTTGTCACCCTTAGGATGCGAAGTACTTAATTAAGTAAAAAATTTAAATTCTGATTTCAAAGCTTCTATAAAATTGGTGTTAGTACTAAAAATTCTTTGCACACTTTGAACGTGTAGTTAAAGATAAGTGTTACAATGAACCAATTTGTGAGTATGAGTCCCATCATAAGCTACCAATGTTGAGATATGAGATGTCTCTCATCTTGATACAAATGGAAAAAATTTACGCTCATGCTATATTTACCCTTTTCTAATAAGAATTTACTTCATTCTTGGCATGTTGCATCTCAGAGAGGATTGAATCTCCTCCTATCTTTGAATATGTCATCACTACAATCAATCAAGGAAATCATGAAAAATATCATTTGATCATGTCTTAAAGTATATTTTGCAACTGTAAAAAATTTGAAACATTTGGTATACTTTGTTCTCATACACTAAAGGTCTTTGAAACAAATGATGTCAAGGCTATTTCTAAAAAATATATTCTTAACAGATGGATAAGAAAAGGTCATTCTAGCATTATACACAATGTTAAAGGAAAAGAGATTGAAGGAGATCCTAAACTTACTACCACACAACGATACCAACAACTTACTTCTAAAATGATTAGACTTGCATCAGAGATATCTAGTTTAAAAGAATACTCTACATTACTGGATTAAAGTTTAAATGTTGTGTGACAAGCCTAAGGCAATGTGTTTGAAGGGGGTCCATCGCCAAAAGCATGATACTATCATGGTTTCACTTTCATTTGTTTTGTTTCACATCTGAGAACCTATCGTGACTTTCCATTGACCAAAGGTAGACTAAATAAATAACTTTTGCTCATTTACTTAAGAAAATTCACAAAGGGTGACAACTTAGAAAGGCAAAATACTTAATGAAGCTAGTAAACTTTGCTTGACAATTTTTATATTAACTTTTATTCCTACTTATCCCATGCAAATTTGGTGGTTATCTCAATTTGTTTGTCATGGTATCAATAAGGTTGTTAAAGATTTTATTTTGTCTTCTAATAATTTAAACTGTGACATTCATCTTGTTGGATGGGATCAAATTACTTCCCCTAAGAAACACGGTGGCTTAGATGTTCGTGATATGCAAATGATTAATATCTCCTTTATAAGTAGATTAGTGTGGAATATTTTATAGGAGAAACTCAAATCATATATTTAAATCATAAATGCTAAATATATGAAACACAATCCACTATTAATTATTCAACTAAAACTCAAAAAACTTTGCTATTTGGAATAACATTATGAAGATATGTAGCATTTTGAGAGATAGTTTTATGTTATAACTAAATTTCGCTTCTTCTTTGATATGATATTCTAATTAAACTAGACTTGACCTAATCGCTAATTTAGTTTATTTTATTCACATCTCAAATATAAATATCTAAGTTAATGAGTTGTTTGTTTATGACGTTGAGAAATTGGACTAGTTCACCACCTATATCCCGCAACACATCAAAGTTTATAAGTCTCTTTGATGTTTGTTTATTTTATTCACGTCTCTTTTGTACCTCACTAGGCATGTATGTTGTCCACACCAATGGTATTAGTGAGGTACAAAAGAGACTTATTCCACAAAGACATCTTTTTTAACAATTTTAGATCTTGATTGGGTCTGGAAGTTGTTAGTAATGAATAGTTAGATTTTTTATTTGCCTTATTTGTCATGGATCTTCGTCCACTAATACTTTGCTACATTACCATAGATTTACTTCCTCAAGCTCTTGCCTTAGGTGTTCTCATGGGCTTGAAGATATTAACAATTATCTTAGATATTGATTGTCTTTACTCTAAAAAAATTTGGTTTTGCTTGGAGTGTTATTTTTCTATTGTAATTTCCATGACCTACTATTACTTAGATTGCTATATGAGCTAGGAACATCAATTGCATTTCCTATTTATCCGTTCTTTGATAGCTTTGGCATTGGAGGAATAATATACTTTTTTATTAGGAGAAACGAAGTATTTATCATGTTTTAAATTTTATTAGTCAGTGTAAGAAAGATTGTTTTCTATTGAATTAGACAAGTTAGTCATCAAACTCGCATCTTTTTGAGAAATGTTATGGAATCTCCCATCTTCCAAGTACTATAAAATTAATGTAGATAGTAGTTGCAGAATGAACTATATGAATTGTGGCAGTGTTATACGAGTCTCTACTTGGCTAGATTAAAAAATTATCATAAAGTAATTTTAGAATTTGATCACTTAGAAGCGATGAACCTTCTAAGGAAATTAAATTTGGTCACTCTTAAAGTGTGTTCTATTTTACAAAATATTTATTATCTCATGCAAAGTTTCTATTTCATTCTCTAGATGATCCTAACAAATGCAATTTCTAAACTTTAAATTTTAGACAATTTCCATATTTTATAATTTATCTTTATATTATCTTCTTTTCTTCTTTACCAATTTTCTTTTTTACAATTGAAACTTTCTTAATTTTCTTATTCTTAAAACTTTAAAAATATTGTTATCTCTTTAATATCTCTATAAACTAAATTAATTAAATAAATTTAAATATTCTTTCACTCAATTTTTACTGATTATAACATTATATTTTTCTTAGAATATAAAATAAAATCCAAATATTTGCCTCTTTTAAGCCCTAACATATAATCATTGACACCTCCATATTTGATAAATTTTTTATGTTCTAAAGTTTAATTATTTAAATAAAAAAATTGATAATTTTATATAAAAAATAACCATTTAATTACAATAATTAAAAATTAGAAATTAAATTTGAATAAAATATTAATAAGATACTATAATTACATTGTAATCATAATAAAAAGAGCTAAAAAAAATTAATTCATTTATATACTAATAAATTTTCATATAAAGTGTCACAACCCACTATATGATAAATGTAACCTTATAATAATAATAATAATAATAATAATAATTATTATTATTATTATTATTATTATTATTATTATTATTATTATTATTATTAAAAATAGAATTCACATAATTTGTGTGATTTTTAATAAATTTTAAGTAATAATAAAAAATATATTACTAACATATATCTCTTATACTATCTCTATTCCTATTTACAGACTAAAGAATTCAATCATTTATTTAGTATACTTATATATCTTTTATTAGTCAGTCTCTCTACGTCGTTTGAGTTACTCAATTAGAATAAATGCTTTGTAAGTCTTTCTTTAACCTTTGAGTTATTTAATTAATATAAATATTTTATTTTTATTATACAATATATATATATATATATATATTAATAAAAACATAAAAATAATATTATTTTAAACTTTCACAAAGACAAATCAATAGAAATAAATTTCATCCCCTCTCTATAGACATAAATAGGAATTAAGGTAAAATAATTTATGCATTATAACACTTTCATATAAATTACAGAGAGTTTGAATTGGGGTTATAATTTCATAAACGTGCATAAAAATTGTCAAGTCTAAAAGTAAGTCGATTGGCTTCAGTTTAAAGACAACTAATGGATATTTACATCAATGTACGATTCTCGTAGCAAATGAATGTGAAGCACTCACTTGTATGGGATCTGCTTCAACTCAATACACGTGATTAGGGATTATGCAAGTCAGTTTTTACGTTAGCTTTCATATAAAATTCCAATCTGGCTTGTTTATAATTCAAGGATTAAGTTTATTTTATTTATTTGATATAGGTCTTCTAAAGGTTTTATCTATTTTTTAAAAAATATATTATTTGACTTGAAAATTTATTTAGGAATTTAATTATAAGATTTATTAAATAAAATTATTGATATGACTCAAAATAAATTTATGATCTTATACTTACATGTATGTGAGTGAGTTTGAGCTTCTAAATAGATTAACAAGTACTTTAAATTATTTGTACCCTACACACATAATATAGGTAAACATAAATAAATGAACATGTAATAATGCTAAATGAACAATAATTGAGAACAACATTACAGTGATACCATATTAATTTATTTAATCAATAATTATATGCATACACTTATCAATATTTTCACCTAGGTTATCACTCTTTTCTCATAAGATCACTTTATTTATTTCATTTTTTACTTTCTCTCTCTTTTCTTTCTAGCTATTTCGTCCTTTCACTTTCTTAGTTATATCTAGAGATTAGAGACTAGAGATGAAGAGATGGGAACAAGATTTGAGTGTAGGTGGCAGAGAGATTATAGCTAATTAATTTATATTTGTTAGTGTTTCGGTTTGATGGCAATGCCTTTGATGAGAAGCCCCGTCTTCCACATACCACCTTCATATTCATACATAGAAATCTCCATCTCGCCACCATCATTTTCAGATGCCACAAACTCACCAACTGGAATCTCTATCCAACCCCCGAATTTCTCCATTAAAATTTCGTTATGTTGCTGTTTCTTTCCTCCAGGAAGGACAAGTCTAAAGTTTATTGGAATTTCCCACCCTTCAGCCCAATCTTTCAACATTACAACAAATGAGACTTGATATAGAATTCCTGGTGAAAGCTTTCTAGTGTCAAATTTTCCATGCACTTCTAGCCAGCAAACCCTTTTCAGCTCAGCAATCTCTATCATTGTGCCACTGCAACATAAATATATACATAGCTTGCTCAAATTAGGACTAGAAACTGTGCAAGATAAATGCGTGCTTAGTTTAATTAGACAAATAGTATATAATTAACCTGACAGTGACTATCACAAATCTAACCTGATGAACAAATTTTCTCAAGTTTAATTTAAACTGATTGCAGCTAGTATAGGATTGAAATGTCGATATTTAATACCACAACAATAATAAATTGATATGGTCAATATGAACAATTCACGTATCCTTGAACATGTTTTTTACAACAATAATGCTTGTCTCACACCTTATATGGGTCAAGGAAAAGCTAAATAAATATTATACACACACACATTTGGATTTAATTTATTAAGTTTGTAAAGCAATTAAGTAACAAAAAAAATTATAAAAAAAAAAACAAATTCCATCGTCTAATTTTTTCTAATAAAAGTTGATTTATTAGTATAAATACTATAGGTTTTCACTAATGATATATAGCACTAAAAATAAACATTAATTTCTTATATAAACAAATAAATTTTTAATTACTAATATACCGATATATTTTTGGTATAAAGAATTTATGTATATGTATACCCTCCACACATCGTACCATTACTATAAATCCAAAATGTGTATCTGATCTGTTGATCAATTTGCATTGGACAAAGACTTGTAACAACAAATTTTTGTTAGTATATAATTGTGTTTTGGAAGGGACTGAAATCCCTAGTTTTCGTGATAGTTGTGTACCTTGCTTCTTTCTGTTGGACCCATTTCCAATAGCCATGATTTTCTGCCCAGGTGATTGAGAGTGATCTTGCATACAGCATGAAACAGTTGCCGTTGGACTTCTTTTCTACCCAATATTTCTACATACAAATTATAACTATAAATCATTAAAAAATTATCAATCAGTAAGATCTTAAATAGAAATATTAGCTTAAACTCTGATAGCAGGATTAATCGATTGAGGATACCACAGGCAGGTAATCACTAAGAACCAAATTTAGTATATATAGCAACTCTCTAGCATCTTCATACTAGTTTTTTATATGTATACTTTTTATTTACAAGTATAAATATTTATTTTATTGGTGTCTTTTTTTTTAAATGTTTAAAGCATTTAATTTTAATATATTATCGATGTAAAATATTTATACTTGTCAACCGATTAAAACGCATAATAAATATAATAAAATATGACTAGATAACACCTAATGCATTCTAATTAAATTTATGGTTAAATATATACAAGTATATATAAAAGCTTCTACTTGTTCCTATGATCAAATCCAAACTAGAGATTTCGTATATAATCGTGTACTAACATTAGTTTACAAAATACTCTAATTAAATGAATCTGTTCCAAGTTGACCTGATTATGCTTATTATGACATGGGATTGAGCTCTAAATTTAAGTTCAATTTAATTTTAAATTTTTTATTCAATTCATTTATAGTTGAGATTTTTATTTATTGAGTTTAAATTAACTAAGTATATTTAAATATAAAACACTGGTTTAGGTTAAATATGAGCTTCATTTTTTTATTCATATAAAAATTGACGTTTTAGACCCTATGTAATAGAGTTTGAAATTCGAATAAAACAGAGTAACTCTCATTTTATTATTCTAAGTTCCTGCTTTAGAAGAATTTATGAACAATTTATTAAAATAGTTTATGACTTCTATAAATTATTTTTAATATTATTCTAATAAAAATTTTGATAACAATTAAAATAAATTATTTCTCTTTATTTCAACAAGTTTCATGATTAATTTTATCACATAAGTAATCATTTAAAAATAGTTTATTAAATAAGCATTTAAATAAACTATATATGTCAAAACACACTTAATTCTTCAATTAATATCTTAACGTAACACTTTTCAGCCATTATATTAATAAAATGAGATATGAATTAACTAGTGGGTACCTATAGACATGAGGATTTCCATAGATAGCTAATATTAAGGACAAGTCGAGTTGTCAACCTAGCTAGGGAGAAGGGGTGATGAGAGGAAGAAAGGAAACTTTAACTGAGTGATATTGAACTTGCCTTTGTTTTATTGTCTAAGAACACCCCAGCATATAGCTTATCCGACAGCTTTCCCCAGATCGAAGATTTATCATCAAAATCTGCACCCTTCAATATATTTTCACAGTTGTGAGGTAAAGTTAGTCCTTTCAAAGGTTTCACTGGCATCATGGATGAAGTTTCATTGGGTTTTGCGTTTCTTTGAGGAGACAACAACCAAGATTCCCTTCTTGTGGGTTCATGTGGGTGTGGCTGTTGCTGCTGTTGTGGTTGTGATTGTGATTGTGGCTCTAACTCTGATTGAGAAGCCCCCATTTCTCTTCCTCTACTGTATGTTCCCAATGTCTATATATAATACCGTTTAATGATCATTCAGTAAGTTCTTAGCCGTTGTTGTTGCGTTTTCTTTTTTTTTTATTCCAAAGTATATGAGATGCTTTATGATAATGACGATGTATCCGATAAGATAACAATGAAATAAATCTTATTTATTAACCTTATCTTTTGCACTTTTGTACTATTACTTTTTCCCTTTTTCGATCTCCTTCACTTTGCTTATAACGTTTTGTTATTTTCTCGTTTTTTTATTTCTCTCTTTCTTTAAAGGAATTCATTAGTGGTTCAAACTGAAAAAGAAAAAAGCTTTAAATTGACTTTGTTTAATTCGATTTCATTTTAGAGTAAATTATACTACTCTCTCAAATTCAAATTATATTCTCTTCTCTAATTCTAAAAGTTACAACACCTTTTTAAAGAAATAAATATATGTTACAACTTTTAATGCGACATCTAATTTTAAACATTTGCACCATATATACTATTGATTTATAACTTTAGAATAAAATAAAATCTCAAATATTTCTACTATTGGTTTTGAAACTTCATCCAGAATGTTTATTTTATCTTATGAAGTCACAAATTGATAATAAAATTTTTAAATAAAGAATGATAATGAGAAAAATATATTCAAAAATATTTTTTGATATTAAAATAAATTAAAATGCAATATATTCATCTCGAAGAGATACAGAGTAAATTAAGTATCTCTAAAAAATGGGAAATGTAATTTAAGCATTTTAACATTAAAAAAAATTGTTGATTTTTAATTTGATTTTTTATTTTCGTTATAAAACTGATCATCAAACTAAAACCACCTTATATTATAACATATATTTTCTATAATTTACGTACTTCTGTATCACTAGCTTATAATTTATTTTCTTAACAGACCGTTAAGTTAATTTGATGTTTACTGATATCGATGTGGTTTTATTAATACTTTTAGATAAACTTATTGCTGTTTGATTCATAGAAGAAAAACAAAAGAAAGATCAGTTAGATCTAATCGAATAAGATGGTCTTTAATGGGCTCTACAAATAGAAACTTATTGATAATTCCCGATGTATGAAAAGTGATTAGTTTGACTTGGATTGTTTTCCATTTTTAAAACAAAAATAAACCACCAAGTCTACTTATAAATACGAAAGAAAATTACATCAAAACATTGAAAACAAATAAACAACAAATAAAATAGCTCTTAAGTTGACAGAAGCACAGTGTAGACCCAATAAGAGATACAAAATGCTAAAATCTTGGTTATTAGAGGGTGTTTAGTATATTTTATATTTTTATTTTGTAATAATGTTTTTATATATAATTTAACGAAATCAAATGGTTTTCTTTTTGTTATATATGTTAAAAAATTGTGAAAACGACATTTTAAAAACAAAAAAAATGCAATAACTTAATAATTAATAGTAAAAAATACAACCTTTTGCTTTTACCTTAATTTTCATTGTCAAAATATGCTATTAAGGAACTTCACGTATGGCGCCCCCAAACTATAAGGAAGTAGGACAAGTGTCAGCCTTGATTTATTGATCACTTATGTCTGCAGGGAAATAAAACTGTATTCCTCACGCCAAAGTGTCAAAAATGGATACCAAAATTTGCTAATTTGTTTATATTTCCTACAAAAAGTTAAATGTTATTCCAAGGCATCCGGTTCTCGTAAGTGAGTTACTAACCATGTTATTCTGATTCCTTCTCTCTTTCTCTTTTCATCTTTTATTATGTTTTTTGCAACTCTATAATTGAACTCTTTTTTTTTCTTTTTAAGTCACAAAAAAATGATACCTTTTATTAAAAAATAGTGTTTAATTAACTCTTAAAAATTAATTTATAAAAAGATTGTCTAAGCCTTTATAAAAAGTATTGTGTTTAAACTTGATATATGCAGGTAGCCTACCATTTAATTGAATAGATTTTGATACTTTATAAAATGAGTATTCGATTGATACGTGAGATTTACATAATTTTTTTAAGTAACTTTTTTTAACTTAAGCGAATTTTGCATGCTTCTCATGAGAGAGATGAGAAGGGGACTAGGTGTGGGGAAGAGGGGACTCAAGATGGTGGAGTTGGAGAGAGCTTGTGGTATAGGGGTGAAGGTGGAAGGAAAGTAAGGTAGAAGAGTTGAGAGTGGAAAAAAAAGGAGAGCAATGTATGAGACGAGGTGAGGGTAGGAAAAAGAAGAGAAAAGTTGGACACGAAAATGAAGTGAAGGAAATAGGGAGTTGGGGAAGAAGAGAGGAGTTGAATATAGGAGTGAATATAGTAGGAGGAGGGTTTAAGAGAGAGTGCTTAGGCATCGACGAGAAGGAGAATAGAAGATTAGGAAGGAAAAGATGTAAAATTCGCTTAAAACAAAAAAAATATTCGCAACTTTTTATTGTTTTCTCCATTTTTGTTAAAGCAAATCAATTTTGCTTAAGTGAAAATAAAACTAGACGTTCAATTCTTGTCAAAACAAGCGTAAATTCAAATCTTGAATTGGCATAGATAAAGAACAATTTTTTGAAATAAAAGAAGAAATTATAATGTGTTTGCCAACAACAATCAAAGATAAGTAAAGAGAACAAACTTACAACATGTCAATATTCTAGAATAAAGTGTTCTAGGCTTTGTTTGGAGTTTGTAGGGGTGGGGAGAAGGAGGTTAAACCCCTCTCTTGTTTAAATGTTTAATATTAAGAGAGAAGGATGATTAGGAGTTTAATTATATAAATGATATTATATTTTATATCCTTTATTTATATTTTTTATTTTACAAAAAATAAAAAATAAATATTTTTCTTTCTCTAAAAATTACTATTTTTATTTTTTATAGTTTTTTTTTTAAAATCATCACTTAAAAAATTAATACCCTTTTTAAAAAAAAATAGAATTTTATTCATGAAAAGGTATTAGAGAGTGAAAGAGAGAAAACTCTCCAAAATGGAGGAACACAAAAAATAAGGGTTAGGAGAGTTTATAAACACTCTAAAACTTTCTCCTCCTAATTAAGCAACTCCAAATAATAATTAATTTCTTTTAATCCTTTCCTTTCTCTTCCTAAATAATACATAACTCTCAAATATAATCTTAAGAATTTTCGACAAGCTGAATAAAGTGTAGTAACGAGGAATAATATCTTACTATTTCAAAGGATTTTGGAACGAAGGACTTGTGTAACATGTTAGAGAGACAGGGTAGGGAGTGCAATGTTTTCATTGGAGAGAGCAGAAACAGTCTAGGATAGAAGTTTGAGTTTATTCATTTTAAGGAGCTGAGAGAATCATAGGGTGTGGAAAAAGAATGAATGAAATTGAATCGATGTGCAAAGTTGGTGTAAATACATGGCTACGTCAATAATCAGTAGACGTGCATTTAATTTTCTAACGCTACTTTATGCTTTCTTGAAATAAATTCACGTTCAAAATACATTTTCTTTGATATATGTATTGTATTTTATATTTTATCTAAATTTAAGAATACATTTTTGTAATGCAATAACTTGGGGATATATGTTAAAAATTTCTTTGATTTTCGTCCACTCTCTTATTTGCTTTTATAATGCGTCCCTAGTCAGAGTTAATTTAACAAAATATGAAGACAAGAGCAACCAACCAAAGTCATCATCAGAGGATTAAAATCGATAGTGGGGAAGAGAAAAGGACCAAAAATAATTAGTGAATGAGAGAGCTTCTTATAAGTCATCAGAGAAACAATTAAGAAAAGGAATGGAGGAGAAAAATATAATGATACGGGAACGTCATTAAGGAGTCGCTTTCTTCAACTTTCATTCACGTATGGTTCAAGTTTCACTTCATGGAAGCGAGTGAGATTGATTCCATTCATGGGATTTGTAGCTCAGTGGTGGCAAGGAGAATGGAAATTAACGAAAAGGAAATGTTAAAGCAATAAGGAAAGAAAACATGTGACATGGATAAATTAAAGGAGATGTCAAATTTTAATTAGTGGGTCAGGATTGATAATAAAAAGATTATAAGAAAAAAACGAGACAAGAAAATTTTAATTCCCTTAACAAGAAGTATGAATGGAGAAGGTTGGAGTGTAATTTACCAGAATATTAATGAGATGGGATGGGATGGTTATCAAGGAACACCCTATTTGATTAATGGTCCCATTATGATAATATTTATTAACAATAGACAAAAGCTTACAAAATTACAATAAATGAGTACCAAAGTTACGTACTCAAAATAATTACAGCATATCGTACATTAGTGTTATTCCGTGTGAGGTAATAAAAACATACTTCGTCTTTTTTCTAATGGCATATTACCGGATTTGAATTCTCTGCAGTCTTGGCAGGAACTGCAGGACACAGTGCGTTTTTGCTTAAGCAAATTTTTTTGCTTAAGCGAAATTTGGAGCAAATTCACTTAAGTGGAGAAAAAGGCTTAAACGAATGGTGAAAAGGCTTAAAAGCGCACCCAAGCCAACCACAAGAAACATGAATCATGTCTCGCTTAAGCTCATAATTTTGCTTAAGCGATTTGCATTTAGCTTAAGCCCTTCCAAGCAAAAACAATTAAACTTAAGCGAAAATAAACCAGAGAGACATGCATTTCAATCACTCTTTTCGCTTCAGTGGATTGTAAATCGCTTAAGCTATTATAGATTCGCTTAAGCCTTGACCAACGATTTTAATTAATATTAAGCGAATTTGAGGTAGAGAGCCATTACTTAAGGCATACGAAATGGCTTAAGCGAAAATGAATTGGCTTAGGCGAACAATAGTAGGGCTTGAGCCCAGATTTGAATTTCTCAACGAATACAAATCCGCTTAAGCCAGTATGTGTGCTTAAGCAAATATATCAAAATTTGCAAAAATTATGCAGACACAGACAGCAAGCAATAAAATGGCTTAAGAGAAAATTAATTAGCTTAAGCAAAGGATAGCAGGGCTTGAGCCCAGAATTTAATTCCTCAGCGTATCAAGATCCGCTTAAGCGATTTCATAAGCTTAAGTGAATAAATATGAAAATGCAAACATTTTGCAGAAACAGACAGCATGCAAGGGGGTTAAATACACTGAATTACATCAGTTCATCAACATACATCTTCCACCAAAAACAGTTTATAATATAAGACACGATTGTAGATAAATATTAAAATCCATCAATGAAAAAGTATAGAATTCAGCATTGGAAAACTAAAAATAAAATCTATTACATAATAGAAAATGTTTAGTTATTTATATCCATCCATTACAATAAAATCCTAATTCTAATCATGGGTATCCTACATTGTCCTCCTCTTGCATTGGTTGTGGCCAATCTCCCTCATCATGTCTCCCTTCTTCCTCTAAGTTTTGACTTTGTTGTACATCTCCCCCTTGATCACTATGCCAAAAATGAGCTCTTGCACTGCAATCCTAGATAGCGGTTAGTGAAAACTGCTTTGTATCAGAAATAAAGAGAGCGGTTAACGCTCAACCGCTCTGCAATTTAACCCTTTCAGAGCGGTTGCATACGAACCGCTCTCTAATGCACAATTTAGAGAGCGGTTGTAAAGGAACCGCTCTCTAAAATCACTTATCAGAGCAGTTGAGATTAAACCGCTCTCTTAAACTAGCTTAGAGAGCGGTTATTTGGTAACCGCTCTCATAAGTTCCACTTTTCAGATAGCGGTTAACACGTGGAATCGCTCTCATAAAGATTACAGAGCCGTTCTTTGGTTCAACCGCTTTTAAAAGATTATATTAGAGAGCGGTTAACGACTTAACCGCTCTCTAAAGTGTAATTTCAAAATAAACCCTAACCCCCAAATCTAGCCATCATTGTCCTCACGCCTACTCTGTATTTCCAAATTTCTATGTTTGCTAAGGATTTTGCTTTAGAGAACACCACCGTTGACGCCATTTTATTTTTAGGTTAATAGTTACATAAACGTCCTCTCTGCCATTTTTGGTTCTGTGTGTTTGTTTACCATTTTGGTTCTCTGCAACATAACTACGACCCAACGTTATTTCAAGGTTAGTCGATTGTTAATTTTTTTTTGTTAATTTTTAGGTAATTTGTTAATTTTGGTTCTCTGTAATTTTTAGTTAGTAAAATTTGTGTTTTAGTTAGGACGAGAACTGGCCCAAAATATAATAAATTAATAAAGAGTACAAGAGAAGACAATGACATAGAAAATTGATATTTACAATTAAATCAACGTCAACAAAATGAGATCATTTGATTTTGGAATAGGAGTAGAAGTGGTCTACTGAATAAATTAACCTGGGCTTACATAATTTAATAATGCAGTTTAGTGGTCTTACATAATTTTAGTGTAGTGAAAAAACATTATCATATTTAGTGGTCTTACATAATTTTATAATGTAGTTTTAGATCTCGAATAAGTTCATCAAACTTGGCCTCAAATTGCATACTAGACTTGGAATATAGGAAGTGAAATCCCATGCTTAGTTTGACTGGTGAAATAAGATTGTTCCTCTTTTTAATGTTATGGCTTATGGAATGTTCTGAATACATGATTATTGTTGATATTATATTGTTAGAAATTATGTAATGTTGTGAATGCATGATTATTGTTGAAGTTATGTTGTTAGAAATTATGGTTTGAAATCTGAAATTGAGTGAAACCTTAGTTTCTCGTTTGTGGTTCAAAATAATGATTGAATAAATCATTATTTTCGATCTTAAATTGTCTAAGTTGGACAATTTGTCAGCAAAGTTAGTCATTCAATGGTTAGCAAATGTTGTTTTATAATGTTTTATTTAATTCTTAACAAAAGTTTGGTACAATGCATTTGTCATTGTCTCTTGGTGCGTGCTTGATTGAGGTAAATCATCTCATTTCAAGTTGTGTACTAAGAGACTAATGCAAAATGCTGTCAAAATTTTGTGAAGTATAAAATAACACATTTATGCAGCAATTGTTAATTAAGGTATGAAAAACTTTGTTTTCAAATGGGATAGGGCCCTACCATGTGAGACTTAATAAGACATTCACATTTGGTTTGTCATAACCGTAGTTAGAGCAAATATGGACCGAAGTTGGATGGTTGCTGATCGTTTGAGTGAAGAATATGAAGATAGAGTGAAGGAGTTTATTAGATTTGCGATTAAGCATGCAACTGATCTGAACCTTTTTCCATGCCCTTGTTGGTGTTGTTTGAATATGATGCAAGTAAATGCAGAAGAATTGGAAGAACATCTATTGTGCAATGGGATTGATGAAAAATATACCTGTTGGACAAAGCACGGTGAGATACAAGGTGGAAGTACATCACATCACATGGGATCAAGTCTCTATTTCTCAGAGACATTAAAAACAGATGAAAGTGATAATGTTGAAGACATTCCAAATGTTGTTGAAAAAGATCTTAGAGATTGTCCAAAGATGTTTGAGAGGCTAAAAGATGATGCGGAAAAACCATTGTATAATGGATGCAAAAAGTTCACGAGATTAAGTTCTGTGTTAAAGCTTTATAACCTGAAAGCAATGAATGGATGGACTGATAAAAGCTTCACAGAGTTACTAATTTATTAAATGAGATGCTACCAGAAGATAATATGCTACCTACGAGAACATATGATGCTAAACAAGTACTTGCTTCCATTGGATTGACCCATGAGAAGATACATGTTTGTCCTAATGATTGCATTTTGTTTCGAAAAGAGTATGCATCACTAAGTCAATGTCCAAAGTGTAATGAGTCACGTTACATAAAGAACAAATCTACACCTACAAAGGTCATGTGGTATTTTCCAGTAATTCCGAGATTAAGGCGCTTATTTTGCACTGCAGAAAATGCAAAACACATGACTTGGCATGCTGAAGGCAGAATTAGAGATGAGAAGCTTAGGCATCCAGCAGATTCTCCTCAGTGGAAAAAGTTTGATGATGAATATGAAGACTTTGCAGCAGAAACAAGGAATATACGCTTTGCTTTGGCAACCGATGGAATGAACCCTCATGGCATGCAAAGTAGTACCCGTAGTACCTGGCCTGTGATTTTATTAATATATAACTTGCCTCCATGGTATTGCATGAAGCAAAAATATATGATGCTTTCTTTGTTAATCTCTGGTCCCAAACAACCTGGAAATGACACTAATGTCTACTTGTCTCCTCTAATTGAAGATTTGAAGCGGTTGTAGGAAAACGGCATTGAAGTATATTATGGGTTTAGAGATGAATATTTCACACTTAAGGCAATGTTGTATGGTACAATTAATGATTTTCCTGCTTATGGAAATCTTTCTGGTTATAGCATAAAGGGTCAATGTGCATGTCCAATATGTTCCAAAAATACAGATTATATCAGACTTGAACACTGTCACAAGAATGTTTTCATAGGGTATCGTAAGTGGTTGCCATGAAATCATCCTTTTAGAAAAATGAAGAAAGCCTTTAATGGAAGTTGTGATGAACGACGATGTCCATATTCAAAAAGTGGAGAAAAATTTTTTGAAGAGGTTTAAGATATCAAAACAACTTTTGGGAAACCATTTGCCAAAGACATTTCAAGTAGAGGTTGGAAGAAGATGTCAATTTTCTTTGAGTTACCCTATTTGAAATCGTTACACTTAAGACATTTTATTGATGTTATGCATGTTGAGAAAAATGTATGTGAAAGTGTTGTCGGTACGTTATTGAACATTGAAGGGGAAAAAAAAGGATGGTATCAATGCAAGGCTTGACTTGGTAAAGATGAGAATTAGATCTGATTTGGCACCAGTGAAGAAGGGAAAACGCACATTTTTACCACCAACAGCATGCACCCTTTCTAGACATGAGAAACGTGCATTTTGTGAAGCTCTTTATTCAGTTAAGGTTCCTGAGGGGTATTCATCTAACATCAAAAGTCTTGTTTCATTGAAGGACCTCAAGTTAAAAGGGTTAAAGTCTCATGATTGTCACATCTTAATGGAGAATTTGATTCCTTGCGCTATACGGTCTATTTTACCAAAAAAGGTCCACGTTGCAATAACCAAGCTGTGTTTTTTCTTCAAGACAATATGTAGCAAAGTTATTGATCCTGCAAAATTACCAGCATTGCAAAACCACATATCTGAGACTTTATGTGAGCTTGAAATGTATTTTCTACCTTCGTTCTTTGATATCATAGTTCATTTGACCATTCAATTGGTTGAAGAGACAAAATTGTGTGGTCCCGCATATATGTGATGGATGTATCCCGTTGAACGATATATGAAGATTTTAAAAGGGTATGTAAAGAATAAAAGCCGACCAGAGAGGTGCATTGCTGAGCGATATTTAGTTGAAGAAGCAGTTGAATTTTGTACTGAGTACATGTCAAATGTAGAATCAATTGGTCTTCCAAAATGCCGTCACATAGGAAAGATGGATGGAAAAGGTAGCACTAGTTGTCAACAAATTGAGGTTCAAAGAGTACAACGAGACCAAGCACACTTATATGTCTTACATAACACTCCTAAAATTGAACCTTTTATAATAATGCACAAAGAAATATTGAAGTGTGCGAATCCAAACAGAGGTGAGAATTGGATTACAAAAGAACATAACCAAAGATTCATTCCATGGCTACAAGAGTATGTTTACGAACACGTGTTTGAGACTAACACCCCTGAAACAGAGAAGATTCGGTGGTTATCAAAAGGTCCTTATGTTGATGCATTTTCATATACTTCTTACTTGGTGAACGGTTTACCTTTTATACAAAAGAGCATGACGAACAGAGTAGTACTATGCAAAATAGTGGAGTGACACTTGTTGCTGAATCGCTTCATATATCGACTGCAAAGGATAGAAACCCCATATATGCCAATATGTCATACTTTGGGGTAATTAAACACATATGGGAATTAGAGTACACAAAGTTTCGAGTAGCAGTGTTTGAATGTAGGTGGATTGACAACAACAGTGGGGTTCACATTGACGATTTAGGATTTATAAGAGTCAATTTTAAAAGGGTAGGATATCAAAATGACTCGTTTATCCTTGCAGCACAGGCACAACAAGTAGTCTATATCCCTGATCCAATTGATAAGTCATGGAGTATTGTGTTGTTGTCTAATAAGTTTAATTCTTTAACCGATGGTGAACTAATGGATAAAGAAGTTAATGTGGAGGACGAACCTTTAAGTGGTGTACAACAAATGTCAATGAAGGATATAATAATAGATGATGGAGACCTGTATGCAAGACATGATCATGAAGAGGGTATTTGGTTAAATCCATTATTTCATTCCATTAAAGGGCATAGGAAACTTATTAAGCTCCATAAGAAAAGAAAAAGGTTAATACACTTTTTGATTTAAACATAAATATATGTGTCTTTATTATCTTACATGTTCACTTTCGCTCTCCAATTTCTACTAACATAAATCTATTATGTAAAGATGACATCTTCTGATAACATTGAAGGAGGTTCTCCTTCTAAGACCCAACAATTGAAGAGGAAGAACACTCGAGGAATAACAAAATTGAAGGCAATTAGCAAGGCAAGGAAGTTAGGACAAAAGTTACAAGTATGGGTTGAATTCACCAATGTTTTAATGTGTTTTTTAATAACATATTATTAATTTCAATAAGTGTCATCACTTTATTTAAATTTTGCAGGTTGGATGGAATTGTAAAGGGCAACCGATTGACCCTAATAGATCTAAATTCTCCCATTTTATTGGATTTGTAACTAGAAGTACAGTATCAATTAGTATATGTGATTGGACAAATGTGCCTAGTAATCTGAAGGACCATATCTGGGAGCAAGTAAAGGTAAACTACAATTCTTTCTCTAAGTGTAGTATTATTAATAAATCATGTTGGGTAAAGCTTATTTACTTATTTGGCTTTCATTGTAGGAAACCTTTGAAGTGCAAGAAACGCACAAAGTCTTTGTACTTGCATTAGTTGGACGTGATTTTCGTGCATTTCGTACACGGATGAGGAAGCATGTCTTTGATAAAGACAATAATTGTCTCTTCCACCCTCCTGAGAAGTATCAGAGATTCATTACTGTCACTGATCACTGGAACGAGTTTCTAAAGCAAAGCTGCACAGAAGAGTTTAAGGTAATATAAATACACTTTTATTATATATTTCTATTATTTGTGTTCGACTTGGTAATCTCTGTTGATATGTTTTCGTTTTCATTTTGAAAAATAATATTTAGAAAGAAAGTGAGGCCAATGCTGCTAGGGCAAAAGGAATGTCGTATAGATATAGGCGATCATTTAAGGGATATGCTCAGTTGGAGCAGGAATTGGTACTATCTGTACTATTTTGATATTTGCATTTATTAGGTTATAGTCTTATGTAATCAAATGTTGACGAGTTGTAATGAATTAATGTTCATTTTTTTTGTAGATTGCTGCCTCTGGGTCTAATATGACCTTTGTACCTCAACATGTCTTATGAAAGACTGCTAGGGTTAATAAGCAAGGTGGTTTTGATGATGAAGGAGTTCAAAAAATGGTTGCTAAATTTGTAAGTATAAATAACATAGTTCATTTTGAACAGAACCTTTTATATACTGATCATAATTTTGTTTTGTTCGTTATAGGAAACCCTTTCACAGGTGGGTATGGAGGTTGAGTCTGAATCAACGGCCAGAAACGACATATTGGGTAAAGCTCTTGGTGTAAGAGAACATCCTGGTCGTGTAAGAGCTGCAGGTTTTGGAGTTACCCAAAAGGCTGCATTCGGCTCAACAGCTTCACATCCACACCCATCATCTACTGAGTGGCAGAACATGAAGCATTGGGTAGCGCATCTGACAAGTGTTGTGGCACAGTTGACTGGGGGTCAAGGACTGCCCCTTTTCATGTCTGGTCAAATGCCTTTCAACCCTACTGCCACTCCACCACCATTTATGCCTACTTCCATGCCACCACAAATGGGTATTCCCCCTCAAATGCAACAAGCGGTGGAGGGAGGTCACCATTTGCAGCCAGAACTGCCATGTAACAGCCAAAGAGGCAGTTGTACACCAGTTGCATCTGTAGAAATTCCAAAGGTACAATTCAACAACAGCAATTTAGTTACTTTTAAATTTATTATTAATGACGTACGATTAATTTGTTATTTCTAACCTTTAATAATGTATATATTATAGGGTGATCACGACTGCATGCTGTATTTGAGTACTCCATATCGCGTGGTTGCCAGAAGGAGAGTTTTGAGAACAGTGGTTGGGGACTTCTTACACAATACTGCTCTTCCTCCTCACCATTGTAAGGTCTCAATAGAGATAGTGCAAAGACAGGAAGAAGACACTGCATTACTTGTTCCTAATGAAGAAGCAAACCTCAATTGCCTGAGAGATGCAATTGGAACTTATGTTGCCTGGCCATTGTTCATAATCACTTTACGACCCAAGGTACGTAATCATAATTTTCTTTGCAGCATTCCGATGTATGCATTTAATTTTTCATTTCATTAGACAAACTCTTTGATGTTATTTCAGGTTGCCACATCATCTAGTAGAGGGTTAGGGAAAGGGACAGGTCACACAAAGGAATCCATTGCTGGTCCAAGCAATAAAGGTGTTGTTTCTAATTCGTCTGACCTTCCTGAGTTGGCACAGGCTCAAGGTGTTGCATGCTTCGATATGATGAAGCTCTATATAAGAAGTGATCAAGCCATTGACAATGTAAGTATTCATATGACAAGTCAGCATTGGGGAAAAGAATTTACTGACATTGTGGGAAAAGAAAACATACAAGAGGTCATACGTCGCCATTGGTTGAGCACCTCCAGCATCAACCTTTACATTAGGTAATTCTTTAATTTATACCAATTGTATAAATATGTTTCTCCCATACGAAACTTGATGTTAACTACCTTATTTAATCTCATTTCATTCATCTTTTCAACTATGAGATATTTGTGTGAAGCTTACTTGGAAGGGACCAATATGGCAAGTAAGTTTTCATTTATATCTCCCTATGAAATGGATGCAAACCTCAATCAAATCCCACATCAACATATAGCTGACATGTTAAAACGTCATATAGGTGAAGATCACTTGATATTCGCACCTTACAATGTTGGGTAAGTCAATCTTATGACCATGCATATAAATTTTCCTCCATTTCATTATCATATTTAATTATTGTAATCTTAAACATTTGGTAGGCAACATTGGATCCTAGTTGCTATCAACACCTTTGATGAGACAATGCATTATATGGATCCCTTCCACAAACAGTTAAAGACTAGACCACATATGCAAAACGTATTTAATAAGTATGTATACATGATTTTACCTGTTAGCTGGTCTATCATATATGAATGTGCTTTCGTTTAATTGTAAATTTGTTCTTTCATTTTATTGTTAGTGCTCTTGTCACATATCGAGTTGAGAGAAAAGTGCAGCCCTCTAGGACAAAGATGCATCAAACAAATTGGATCATTATACAGGTCTCAATATTGTTTGACAAAAAAACTCTTTTAACTTCTTTTATAACACTGCATAATTTACACTCAATATTGTCCATTTATTAATCATGCTTTTTATGTTTTTTCCCTCCACGTACAGTGTGCTAAGCAATCAAATAATGATAACTGTGGATATTATGTGTGTCTCTTTATTAGAGATGCTTTGCACTATGGACAGACTACAATCTCATTTAATGTAAGAGGAGTGCATATCCAAAATTATTTTATATCACTAAGTGTTTATTAGGATAGTGTCTGCCCATTTGAATTATATCTAATATAACTAAGATTTGTATTTTGTTTTCTTTTCAGTATTTTCCAGAGTTCCAATTACCAACCTTTCCTGACAACACAATTCATCAAGTTCAAAGGGAGTGGTGTGCATATATGTACCATAGATATTTGAAAGACACACATTAAGCACAATTGATTCTTAGTACTTTTTTTTTTTTACAACACCTACTCATAATTCTATCAAAAGTTAGCCAAAAGTGTATATACATTACTGAGCCTTTTTAATTGTGAACGTTCTATGTAATTGTATTTGTACAGATTCGTATGTTGCAAAATTTATTTGATTTCTGATTAATATATGTAAGTAATTGTATATGTAATGTGGTTGGTTTATCTTTGTGGTTATCACAGGTTGTTGTAAACTGTTTGCAATATTTTATGGTAATATGTATGCAAAAAATTGGGATAATGATGTTCTGTAAAGGGCCCTGGCGAAATAATTTTAAATTTAAGAGAGCAGTTCAACAACAACCGCTCTCAAAATTACACTTTAGAAAGAGGTTAAAGAAAAACCGCTAAAATAACCACACCTTAGAGAGCGGTTCACGAGACAACCGCTCTAACAGTTAGAATTTAGAGAGCGGTTCGTAAAAGACCGCTCTCAGATACTTACTTTGGAGTGCGGTTAGTTGGAACCGCTCTCAGAAAGCTTGACATTAGAGAGTTGTTGGCTGAGGAACCGCTCTCCAATCTTATCAACTCTTACACCGGTTTGACACTAACCGCTCTCTAAAGTGCCATTTAGAGAGCAGTTGAGGGGGAACCGCTCTCCAAGGGTTAACATATGAGATCGGTTATTTGAACCGCTCTCCAAGGGCTAACATTGAGAGCGGTTATTTAACCGCTCTAATAAATACAAGCATTGGATAGCACAGGATTTTAGAGCACCAATAACCGCTCTCTTAACGCCGGTGGAACCGCTCTTAAATCTCATTTTTGGCGTAGTAGATGATCGTCAATTTCCTCATTAGCTCCTTCATCTAGATGTGATACATGATCTTGTGGAGTTTCTTCTTGAGCTGGAAAGGTAGGGTTCTTTCCAAGCCACGATATAGTCGCTGCAAAAAGCTCTGATGTTGGCCATGGAAAAGCATATGGCTCCCCATGATGTTGATATAGAGCGAACCTGTGGAAAGAGAAAATAAGGCATGAATGGTTGCATAATTGATAAAGAAGAGGTAATCCAATGTATTTGCCCTCCTTACATGTTGTCTGTTTTGACAAAATATTTGCATTTTCTTATTTATTCGCTTAAGCTCATGCAATCGCTTAAGCGAATCTTGATACGCTGGGGAATTAAATTCTGGGCTCAAGCCCTGCTACCCTTCGCTTAAGCCAATTAATTTTTGCTTAATCCATTTTGTTGCCTGTTGTCTGTGCCTGCATAATTTTTGCAAATTCTGATATATTCGCTTAAGCGCACATACTGGCTTAAGTGGATTTGTATTCGCTGAGAAATTCAAATCTGGGCTCAAGCCCTGCTACTGTTCGCTTAAGCCAATTCATTTTCGCTTAAGACATTTCGTATACCTGAAATAATGACTCTCTACCTCAAATTCACTTAATATTAATTAGAATCATTGTTCAAGGCTTAAGCAAATCTATAATAATTTAAGCAATTTACAATCCACTGAAGAAAAAAGTGATTGAAATGCATGTCTCTCTAGTCCATTTTCGCTTAGGTTTAATTGTTTTTTCTTGGAAGGGCTTAAGCTAAATGCAAATCGCTTAAACGAAATTATAGGCTTAAGCGAGACATGATTCATGTTTCTTGTGGCTACTTAGACGTGCTTTTAAGCCTTTTCACCATTCTTTAAGCCTTTTTCCCCGCTTAAGTGAATTTGCTCCAAATTTTGCTTAAACAAAAAAATCTGCTTAAGCGAAAACGTACTGTGCCCTGCAATTCTCAGCAATTCTCACCAAGACTGCAGAGGATCTGGATCCACATATTACCTACAAGATCTTTCAATGAGTAGAAGTTGTAATTTGCTCACTTTTATCGGATCACTTAATTGAACTGTTCAATAGATAACTTAATAAAGGAAAATCAATTGTATCATTTGGCAACCATTCGTTTACTCTGGCAAATGGGCATGCTTTCATCAAATTCTTTTTGGGTGCAATTGTACTTGCCTTCTGGTGTGCCTTTCAATCCTTCATCACCCTTGGTTCCTTTACGTTAATAAATTGGCCGTCATGGTATAAACAGGAGATCGATCGATAGTCCATCGTATGCAAATAAAAATTGAGGATTTTTCTTCCACACAGAATTTTACTAACACTAGTTTTAAAATTTTATCTCTTTGATTTATCTATATATAATAAAGTAAAACATCTATTGTTAATAATAAAGAATTTACTGTTATAATATTACTTTTTTTAATATGCATCTGAACGCACAATAAAAACATATTTTAATAGTTTTTATTAAAAATTATATAATTCAATGTATTGATAACATTTAATGTTGTAATTTTTAATGAAAATATTATTTATTCTGTAATCTTATTATTCAATGTATTAAAAATATAAAATACTATAATTTTTAATAAAAAAGTTTTTTAATTTCTTACTATATACTTTTAAATATACATTAAAAATTGTAAAACTATATAGTTCTCCATCGCATGGGTTTTGTAAAAGAAGTCAAAGTTCATATCATTAAGCCGATGCTTTCTAAAGCACTCAATGAATTTATTTTATAATTTGACACACATTTTACTTAATGTCAAAATTACGATTAAAAGTAATTTAAATACGTATCTAATTACGTTTAATTATATAAAAATGATTTTATTTAATTTTAAAACAACACACATGAAGTACTAAAGTAAAAGTTTTTGAAGCCCAACATCAAACAAAATATGACTTTTCTCTTGGAGCAGGCAGCAGCACCTTACGTACGGTTACGAGTTAAACAAATGGAATGTGTAGGCAGAGATCTGCCACTAAACAATGTAACATTCTATAAACCTGCACCCCATGACAACGCCGGCAATTACAGAATGACAAATATAATATTAATCGAAAATGTCTAAGGATGAATACGTGATTCGCATCTTTGATGGAATGATGCATTCACAAGTTTGACTTAAAGCCAATTGATTGGCTACAACATTTGAGATGACTAAATCCCTTTCCAGCAAGCTTCCTAGTCCTTAATATTATCAAGTTGTCACTAACAACAATCTTTCCCCCACACTTTCCTCCATTCTTACAACGAATCCAACGAGACAAAGGAACACAACAAACCTGAAATTTCCACGTTACAGCACACACCCTTTTGCTCTTAGATCATCAGTAGGTGCCGCTCTTCCCCCCATATACATTTATATATATACTAAATCCTTACGAATACACACATGCATGTTGAGAACAACCAAATTATAGTGAGCAGCTAAAGGGGCATGGAACAAGCATAGTTAAACTATTTGACACACATCTTTGAGAATTGAAGAGAAGCAGCAAAAAGAATGGCGAGATTGAAGGTGTTGTCAGCTCTTGACACGGCAAGAACACAATATTACCACTACAAAGCCATAATCATTGCAGGGATGGGACTCTTCACTGATGCCTACGACCTCTTCTCAATCACTCTCATCACCAAAATGATTGGAAGGATATATTACAGCGACCGACATGTCGAAAGCCAATTTGAGACCGAACCGGTGGTCGCATCCACTTTGGTGACCGTCGCGCTTTTAGGAACCGCCATCGGCCAAGTCGTGTTTGGCAGACTCGGCGACCTCAAAGGACGACGCCATGTCTATGGCGTCGCCTTGTTGTTGATGGTCTTCAGCTCCTTGGCTTCTGGCTTCTCCATTTGCATAAGAAGAACCTGTGTTCTTCTCAGTCTTGGCTTCTTCAGGTTTGGTTTCCATTGTTAACATCATTTAAAAAACTTTTTGACGGATTAAAAAATAATTTTATCTTAAATAAACTAACCAAGTTAAAAAAATCATACTTATTTATCTTGTCGATTTTTCCTAAACATTATGAACAAGAACTAATTATTTCTGAAAAGTAATAATAATCATTCTTAAAATGCACTTCAAAATAGATTGTACATTAGAATAAGATGAATGTAAACTGTATCAATTTGATTAATTAATAATAATTAAAATTAGCTTGGATTTCACTGTGTTTACGGTAATGATTTAGGTTTTTGCTGGGGCTGGGTATTGGTGGAGACTACCCATTATCGGCGACAATAATGTCTGAGTTTGCGAACACGAGGACAAGAGGGTCATTTATAGCGGCGGTGTTTTCGATGCAAGGATTTGGCATACTGGCAAGCTCCACCGTTACCATAATCGTCTGCTCCATATTCCGCGCCGCGTCTAAGCACTTGTCGCCGCTTCATACGCCGTCCGATGCTGACGTTGCATGGAGGTTGATACTGATGCTTGGTTCTGTTCCCGCAGCCATGACTTACTACTGGCGTATGATTATGCCCGAAACTGCGAGGTACCTCCCTCCATTGCTGACTTTTCAATTTTATTTTTATTTTTTTTACTTTTTTCGTTTCCATTGAATCGAATTGAAATGGACTTGTCTCGGTGTGTGTACATACATAATCAAGGACAAAAAACTGTTTGATATACTTCAGATATGTACACTTCGTTGACAAAGAAAGAAGTTAAAGAAAATTAGAAATAGTTGAAATGGAATGAAAAAGAAATTGCCTACAAATTATTATTTTTTGTAATTAATTTTTTTCTAAAAATACAAAATATTATATTTATAAATTAATTTTAAAAATTATTTTGATTTTTTAAAATAGTAAATTATAAATATGCTGAAATATATATATTATTTGCATGCCTCTTTCCTTTGGTGAAGAATGATAAGAAAATATTATTTGACAAAAATGCGTTGAGATTTATGCTAGTTGCTTCTTTATTGTGTATATAGTAATTAGTAGTCGTTGTCTTGGCCAGCGAGGAGGTAGCATAGCCACTAAAATAGAATTTTGGTTAATAGAAAATTACAATATGGAAAGGATCTCAACGCTATTGATGCATGACAACGGGCAAGGGGGATATGGAAAATTACAATAGAAATTTGAATCCTAGTTATCAAATTTGATCCCTCCTTATTTTCACACTTTCGTTGTGTTTTGGGTTATCTTCTCCTTCCCGTTTCATACTTATGTTAATTAACATTTTAAAGCAATAGATTCCATTCAATCATACTCTTTATTTATTTATTTTTACATTCATTTTAATAATAATAATTAAGCTATATATACATATATGGAGATAGAAGCAATTCGGGAACATGGCTGATGTTAAGATCTCCAAAATTGATGTTGACTTTTTTTTTAAGCCAGAAAAGAAATCCAAATTTGAACTCAAACAAAATATTCTCTTTTTCGTCAACCTCAAATCAGAGTGATCTATTTTGTCATCACTATCCAGTGGCTCTATATATCGTGTCTATGTTATTAAATAAATTTAAGTTCCACGTTTATCAAATCAAGTTGATTACACTGAATGAGCCCAAAGAACAGTGAGGTGCACTCATGAAATAAGAGAAATAATATTCTCATAAAAGCTGTTTTATTCTCATTTATGAAATAATATTCTCATAAAATAAATCATGACGTTAATTTAGCTTGGTTGATGGAGCTTGGGTGTGATTCTTGTTGATATTAAAAATCAAAATACCAGACTGCTCCCAAGTTGCACAGCCCAATTTCAACGATGCATTGTATTTGAAATGTTGGAGTGTACTAAAAGAAACTCATTCTTTATTCGCACATGTAGCTTTAGAGGGAAATTATTACTATTATTCATTAGTTTCTTTAAAACTTCAATATTATATTAACTATTATCTTTCTAATTATATTCTTGACTTCACTCAATTCTTTAAAATTGTATATTTATTACAAACAAGATAACGGTGGAAGATGGTTAAAGTCATTTGTAAGAAAATATAAAACAGCATATTAAAATATTAAAAGACAATATTAATTCTGAGTTAGATTTGAAAACACTACGTATCAAACTTAATAACTTTTCTACAACTTAATAACCTTTTATGAAATAGAAAATTAATTAATCTAACTATTGAATCATCTGAAATTACTTTATCATCATATATATCAAATTTTACATTTTTTAATATTTTTAAATATGTTATGCAAATTTTGATATTTACTTGTATTTTAAAAATATATTACCCATTAAAATAAAATAATATAATGAAATATCTGTTAATTTTATTTTTATACAAAATTTTATAAAGTTAATCCAATTAATAAAAAAATTTCAAACTAACACTTAAATTAATTAATCTTATATTTTATAAAAAAAATTAATAAGTAATGTTGATACTACTGCTCTAAACGTGTACTATCTTGTTAATTATATTTATTAAATGAAGAATGTGTTATGTGCAACAGGTATACAGCGTTGGTGGAACAAAACGTGATGCAAGCAGCAATAGACATGGAGAGGGTTCTTGATGTAACACTGAGCCAGATTGCTGAAGAACATCCATTGCCACCACACCCACATCCCTACCCTCTCTTTTCAAGGGAATTCCTTCGCAGGCACGGTCGTGACCTGTTTGCATGTTCCTCTACATGGTTCCTGGTGGACATTGTGTTTTATAGCCAAGTCTTGTTCCAAAGTGAAATATACAAGCGCTACCTTGATGAGAAAGAGGGAGTGGATGTGTACAGCGAGGCTTTCCATGTTGCTTGGATCCAAGCCGTTATCGCTGCATGTTCCACCATTCCAGGCTATTTCTTTTCAGTTTACTTGATTGATAAGTGGGGAAGAGTCAAAATCCAAATGATGGGTTTTTTCTTCATGGCATTGGCTTTTTTTGCCATAGGGATTCCCTATTACTCATATTGGACCACTGACAAACATGAGAAAAATAAAGGGTTCATGGTTCTTTATGGTCTTGCTTTCTTTTTTGCCAATTTTGGACCCAACACAACCACTTACATTGTCCCAGCTGAACTTTTCCCTGCAAGGTTTAGGTCCACGTGTCATGGCATTTCTGGGGCAGCTGGGAAGGTTGGGGCAATCATTGGATCTGTTGGGTTTCTTTGGGCTTCTCATAGAACAAAGGAGGATGGGTACCCTAAGGGAATTGGGATGAAAAAGTCCCTTATTATACTTGGGGTGTTGTGCATATTGGGAATGTTCATCACTTTCTTTTTCACTACGGAAACCATGAGAAGGTCTTTGGAAGAGAATGAGGTTGATTCTAACGAAGCTGAAGAGAATAATGATCTTTGATTTAATGCAGGTTTGTATGAAGTTTTCATGGATTGCTGAAATCTTTTATTAATAAGCGTTAGATATCATAATATAATATTTTTATAAATATATCTAACGAGTATTGATAAAGGAAAGATCTACTAATTTTATATGAAATTTTATTTGAAGAGTTGTATATACGTAATCTTTTCCTGAAGTCTTCTTAATTATAGTCATGAACCTCTATTAATGTTCTTGAAATTTATTCCATATTTTCTGTATGAATTTAGGTGACAAGCTACTTTCTACTCATGGCCAAAATTCCTTACTATTACCAGTTTTGATTAGATAAATTATTTTGTCAATCTGTTAACAGTTTTGGTATTCTCTATCAATTAAGTCACATCATTCACTTAGCACGATCAATGGTTCTCCGTCGAAACTGTTTTTCCTTTTTTTCACTCTCGACAAGAACAATTATATGATGTTGAGTATAAAGAATAGATACAACTGGCGAGGAAATAAAATTAAAGAACTTGATTTTATACTAAATATATATAAGCCGTTACATATGAAAATGTCAACATGAGCAATGAGAGACAACGCTAGTTGGCATTGATTGTCATTTCCTTCATTCTTTTGTAGACTTTCTGCCCCATGCATGCATTTCCAAGAACCTTACAATATGATTTTGATGTCCAAACCAGTTGAATTCGTTCCATATCCAAAAGAAAAAACCATTACGTCTTAATAATCAAATTAACATAGGCATTAAAATTCTTTTCATGCTTATCCAACACGAGAAGATCACTCCGCCCCTCAAACTAAAAAAAATATTTGGTACAAGTTTTTTGAACATAAATCACTTCAAAATCAAATAATAAATGTATAGAAAAGATAGAATGGGTCAGTTGTAGTTAAATAATAAAATAGTATGTACATAAATGCATGAACAACGCTTTCGCATTGAACTTAAAGTTGTGACTGTGGTCACAATAATGCCACGGCACCTCGGGAAAGTCAAGTCAACAGTCTTCCCCGGACAAGACTCGGGAACGCTGGAGCCGATGGATAATTACGTAAGGAAATGTGGTAACTCCTACGTAAGTTCTTTATAATAATAATAATTCTTGCAAATATCGGAAAAAATAATATGATAAAAGAGCAAAGAAAGAATAATAAAATGCATTATGAGAATTTATTATATGTCATTTGTCGTCACAACATGTTGTAAAGTATAAAAAAAAAAAAAAGAGAGACAAAAGTAATAAATATAATAAATAAAACTATATTGGATCAATTTATAAAACAATACGCAATTAATTTATCAAGATTAATAAAAAGTAGTTATATTATAAAAATGTTTATATTATTAAATGATTAAATTAATATATTATATATTAAATACATTTTTTATTTTATGGATAAAGGATGGATACCTCGTTAACACAAATTTTATAATTAGTAAAGATATAAAAATTTAATAATTAATGCATTTAAAAAAATATTTATTTCATATATTCAGGACAAACAAATATTAGTAGTTATTTCTTATAAATAGGATGACATTATTTTCAGTCATATATATATATATATAATTCATTAACATTAATAAAGAGTAATTATATGTCATAAATTTAGGGTTTAATTCATCAATATCTATAATATTAATTAATTTTATATATTAATAACTTAAAAAATATTTTTTATTTCTTATATTTTAAATCCAAAATATATTGATAGTTGTATTTTATAAATAAGACGAAAAGTATTATAACGTGATATGATATAAAAATAGATAAAATAAAATATATGAATGTTAATATCCATAAAGTGTTTAAAAAACAAGGTTGCTAAGTAAATAAAGTGAAACATGTTTTCTCACATCTAAAATGAGACAAAACAAACTATTTGAATTTCTCAAATTTTCAAACCTTTTAATAAAAAAAAATTCTTTTAAGCTTATCAAAAATATTTAAATGAGAATGTTAATCCTTATATTTAGTATAGATACTTTTAATAAAAAGGTTTTCAAGAAAATATTCCCATAAAAAAGGTGACAATCTAAGATTCCTAAAAAAAATTTATAATATAAAAATATAATTATAGCCTTTATTATTGACGTATATTAAAAAAAATTATTATTAAATTTGTGTTATAATAAAAAATAATTTGAAGTTATTGTGATTCAAATATTGTAACTTTCGTGACTTAAATTTTCTTTTCCTATTTTGTTCAAAATTTAAAATGGTAATTCAAATTTTAGCTTTCCTTCTTTACTCAAGTTTGAATTTGAATTGAATTTAAAATTGTCTTTTATTTTAACCAAAATTTGAAATTGAAGTTTGAATTATAACTTTTCTACCACATTTATTTATAGAAGTTTGAATTTAAAATTTAAAATTTAAAATTTAGTTTTTTCCTATTTTGACCAAAATTTAAAATTTAAATTTAGCTTTTTCCACATTGATTCAAGTTTAAATTCGAAATTAAATATTTTATTTTAACCAAAACTTGAAATTGAAGTTCAAATTTAGTATCCTTCTTAGGTTGATTTTAATTTTTCTCCTCACATTGATTGAAGTTTGAATTTTAAAAAAAAATCTATTTAAAAAAAATTAAAATTAAAATTTAGGTCTTCACATGTTGATTTTGAATTTGAATTTGAAATTAAAACTTTATTTTAGTTTAACCAAAATTTGAAATTTAAGTTTGAATTTAAAATCCTTCTCACGTTGGTCTTAATATTTCTTTCACTTTAACCAAATTTTAAATTTGAGTTTAAATTTTTATTTTTATTTTACATTATTGATTGAAGTCTGAATTTAAAATTTACTTTTTCTCCTATCTTGATGAAATTTAAAATTATTTTTTCTCACTTTGATTCAAGTTTGAATTTAAAATTTAAATTTAAAATTTTCTTTTACTTTAACTAAAATTTAAAATTGCAGTTTGAATTTAAAATTTTAATTTTAATACTTTATTTTGACCAAAAATAACAAATTGAAATTCAAGTTTTAGTTTTCCCTCCCTTATCGATATAAGTTTGAATTTGAAATTTAAATTTAAATTGTCTCCTTTTATTTTAACCAAAATTTTAAAAAATAAGTCAATTTTTAATTTTCTTTTCATATTAATTGAAGTTTGAATTTAGATTTGAAAGATTTTAATTTATTTTTTACTTTAACTAAATTTAAAATTGACTTTTAAATTTTATTTTTACTCTAAATTGGTTGAAGTTTGACTTTAAAAAAAAAATTCCCTCTTATTTTGACTAAAGTTTAAAATTGAAAATTTTAAATTCAAAACTTTAGTCAAAGTGGAAAGAAAATTTAAATTTTATTTTAAATTCAAATTTTAATAAATGTAAAAGGAAACTAAAATTTAAACTTGAATTGAAATTTTCAAATTTCAATTTTAAAATTTAAATAAAGTGAGAGGAAAGTTAAATTTTAAAATCTTATCATTCGATGTAAGTTAAACAAAAAAATCATATCTAAGTCTAAAAAATTTTAGACTTATATTAGTGTAAAAATATTTTTTTTCTTATATACATAATTCATTATAACTTCAGTCAACATTAAATTTCAAATGTTTTAATGCAAACGAATTTAAGTTTTTAATTAAAAATTAATTAAATAAATTATTTAAAATTAGTATTTGAAATAAAGCAAATGTAAAACGGCATAATATTATGTCGCTCACATATGATTGGGTTGGACTGGGCAAATAATTTTGTCAACTCAAATTATATGACTTTTCTTCTGCACCACCCTTAGTTTCTAGAAGCTCGAAAATTAATTTTCAAAAATAATTAATACTTACCTGAATCACTTTTTTTAAAAATACTAAAAAAAGGTGGTGGTGTTAGGAAAAAAAAACTGCGGTGCAAAAAGAAATTTCCAACTACATTTGATCAGTTATAGGCTAGGGTAAATTTGACTCAAAATAACCAAAAGTGGTGAGGATCAAAATGTAACTTAACGTACTCTCAGGGTAGACAAAAATAAAAGTACTCTCGGGTGCTACAAATAATGCACCAGAAAAAAAAAATGGCGACATTATAGTGATTCAAAGTTCAAGCTGACTTACCTTCCAAAAATATACAGATAAAAATGAATAAAGATTTCTCTCCAACCCACAATGTTCTAATTCAAATCGAATGGTTTGGCTGTCCCCTAGCTAGGTTTATGAACATTTCCTACAAGATATTTGATACTTTATACCGAGGCAAATTGATAGCACCATACATAGACCATGACATTGCAAATGTGGTAAATGGGGGCACGTACACCTTTCTCAAAATCTCAAACTACTAAGGTTACTATATATTTTAATCTACTTGAAAAATTCAATTATCTGGATCAGACAAGTTAGAGGGGCTATCAAGTTCTGCCATGCTAGCAGAAGCAAAAGACTCGTCGGTAGAAACCATGGAAGACAGGGATGAAACAGTATCGGAGTCTGAGACAACTTCATCATGAACAATGATGTGATCTTCATCAACATCGGATGCTTCAGACCCTGATGCCCCAAGCAAGAGCTTGTTTATTGCTGACTTTGCAGTTTCCACAAACCATTCATCCTCCGAAAGTGCACTAATTGGTAATGACAAGTGGTTCATGTCAGAATCCAACAACAAAATACAGCTGATGATAATGAATGGAAAACAAGAATCAAGGCCACAAGAAATAAAGAATACCTCTGTGGGTCTATACCCCTAGCAGAGAAGGTCCGGATGGCACGAGCAATGATAGCCGAGGCTATCTGATGGACATGTCTAGATGGATATCCCGCAAAGCGCGCAATTTCAACAGTAAAGTGCATATCAAGAATTAACTGTCACAAAAAGTCATCTTTGGGTGAGAGGAGGGAAGAGAAAGAATCCCTATTCATAAAATTTTGCCAAACTAAATTGGGAGAATAATTCTCTTGACAACTTTCTAATGGAAAGAGTGATAATAGCATGATATTGCATATTTTCTTGTAACAAGTAGGCTTTAATTGCGGTTCAGAGACTCCCATCATAACCATAGCAATTAATTATGGGACATCCCAGAAAAATAATAATATTTGTTAGAAAATGTGAATTTAGCCTCAACTTCAACAAATGCAGCATCAAGCCTGAATTGGGTGAACTTGAGACCTGATTATAGACATCACATTTAAGTCATAAGACTTTTTCATCTTAGTTGTTCAATGTTCACAATGCATTTCAGCAGTCAAAGAAAACCTTTTTAAAAGTCGGGTTGCCTTTGGATGACTGTATTTGGACACAAAAGTATTCATAAATATATGTAAACAAGTACCTGCTGCAAACCAAGTGGATGTAGAGGAGCAGAATTATCCTCTAATACGCCCCAGAACTCTTGCTCATCAGACAACCACATGACAACAGTTTCTGTTAACCTAGCAAGCAAAGTTTTCTGTATTTTCTCCTTCCCAAGCAATACATCTCCAGCCACAGTTGCTAATTGCTGCAACTTTGCAAATAATGCCTGCACATGTAGCTAAACTTGTCAGTACTAAAACGAAACACAAGAATCAAGAGAGAGAGAGAGAGATGGACAGATACACAGGCACACACCACAGTGAAATGGCAGAATGCAATAAATTAGTGAGCCAATAACAGCCACATCTTCATTCAGAAACTCAATTTGTAATAAATAATAATGATTGAAAACACACACAATCAGCAGCTAACATTCCCAAAAAGGAAACAAGGAAAAACAAAGGGATTATCAAAGAAACAAAAATTAGATAACAAAACAAGTGCAAGCAGCAAAAGAAGAAAAATAAGAATAATGACCTGAAATGGAAGCGAAGGCAGTGGGTCAGAATCCCAGTAAAGATCCTCTCGGTTATCACTCAAGTAAATATGCGCATCCAATCGTGTTTTTCCCTCTCTTGAATAGATGAAACTCAGAATATACTGCCGACAGAAGTGATCCCTAAGTTTGTCAAAAGAATGCTGAAGATGTTTCCTCCACTCCTTCAATTCTGCATTAGCATTTGTATTGAAGGTCTCCGCTAGTCCACTATTTGGTTCCTTGCTTTCACTTTGCAGCATCCATGTTGATAATACAGCATTTGGTAACAGTTCATCCAATATCGTAAATGCTATTCCCAATATTGCAAGTTGTTCAGAGTCTGTCTCAGCTCTGAAAGGCACAGCCTCTTTCAATTCTGGAAGATTATCATCATCAGAAGGACCTGGCAGTGCTTTGATAAGAGCATCCATGTATTTATCAAATAGTTGTAAGATTCTATTAAGTACGTTGGCTCCAAAGTGCAAACTAGCCAATGGCGTTAGCTGTTCCAATATATCCTGTACATTTTTACAAGTTCATTCATGTTTCAGCTTGTAGTCGAAACATACCAAATGAGAAATACAAAAAAAAAAAAAAAAAAGGAAGAGACAGACACAAAGATGGAGCAAGAACATTATGATCACCAACACCAATTATTGCATGCAGGCCACTATACACCAATTTTGTTAGTTGTTACTAAACCTTTTGAAAATCCAAAGTCCCTTCTAAGGTCAAGACTTTTGTTAGGAATACAACAGAGGTGATTAATAGGACTAATGCTAATTCTATAGGACAGTGATCAATCATGCCAGTTTTGGAGAATGTTTGATGCAAGCTTTGACTATGTAGCCATTCTGTGTTATCAAAAGGAAGAAGAAAGCCAAACCTCATACTGATGTGCAAATTTTGCAGTTTTGTTGTCTATTTGGTAGGAGCAGAACACTCATACATTAAGGGTGTTTCATATCCTTATTCCTTACTACCGCTACAAGATAGGAATTATTTTTTTTTTGGCTACTCTTGGGTGCTTTTCTCAATGCTTCTTTAAAAGAATGCCCCACCTATACAGAGGAATTTGACAGCTTTATTCTATTCAAGCTTTTGTGTTACGTTATTTTCTTTTCTTTTTGACATATTCTCCCTGTTACTGACATCTTGCCATTTCTTCTATGTTCTATGATTAAATGTTAATTAAAAATGGAAAAACTATGAAGTAATTCTCCCTAAGGGGAAGGACAAATATATATATGTATGTAACCATGAAGGCAGGCAAGCACACAAAAGTCATCATATTGACATTACTGCAAAAGAAAACATACATGCTGCATTGTCAATAGCACTAGTTACGCATCAACTGTCAATACTATAGTTAATTTCTCGTGCACTTAATTCCTCGTGCCTATGGCCGTTTGGTTTCAAAAAATATTTTTTGCTTCCATTTTATGTTTTCACTTTTACTTACAAAATTGTCACTTTGTTTTCATTTTATTTCCAGTTTTCAAATATTTATACAGGAAACACTGAAAATAATTTTTCTGTTTTCACTATTTCATGTACATATATTTAAAAACATTAATGAAAAGAACGAGATAATTTTGCATTAAAAATAAAAATAGAAAATGAAAACAGAAAATAATTTCTAAACCAAACAGAGCAAAGGATTTTCTTATCACATTTATTTTTCTTATCCTGCCATACAATGCTTAAATGATTCCATCACGTAAAAGTGTGTAGGCAAATAATGTAATTATTGTTCATCAGATTTTAGCCATATCATATGATATGATGAAGTTTACTTACTTGAACTATGCACATAAATCGCATTCCACTCTCAACAAGCATGCTACTAGATGAAGTTGCAATTGCAGAAAGTGAAGATGTAAACTGTGGTGACAACAGGAAGCATTCAGCAGATTCTGCCATGTCAAGAACTACTCTTCTAGCACGTCTAAAATTTGATTCTAAAACTTCTTCAACAGAAGGACGTAACAGCACCAACAGTAATTTAGACAGTTTCAATCCTTGTGACTCCAAGATTAAGCAGTAGTTCAGACTAGCCTGAATGCAGATGCTAGCAGCACGTAAGGCAGAAACAGTCTCAGATGAGGGTGCATTCTCTTTCACCAATCTTACAAAATATTCAATTTCCCACTCTGCCCACTGAACAATTCTGTTGGTATAAACAGGATTATCTCCAAAAATCAAAGCAGATTCCTTTATTGTCAGTGAAATTACAGAAAACACAATCTTAGATAATGTCGAAGGAAATGTTTCGGGACACAGAGAACTTGAGGGAAGCAATGCCTCAATTCTCTTTTGGAGGTGAGAGCCATAAAATTTCAGCATTAATTGATGTGCTTGAGGACCTTTTCCGAGTTTTATTAAACCATTTATAGCCTTTTTCAGCTCAGGAAAACTAATAGAAGGTTGTTCAGCAAATCCAACCAGCTGCTCTTCAAGCATTGCTTTTCTTTCCAACAAAGCAGACTTGTATGAGGAACCATCATCTGAAGAGTTATTCCCTGAGCCTTTCAACTCCGCAGAATTTTTTTCGTCAGCATCCAATGCCTCTAATGCTTCTTCAAACTTATGCTCAGCCACAAGTACATCAATGTTTTCCAAGAATAATACTTTCTGGTCATTTCTCTCATTTGGTAGGGGCTCAAGGAGTTCAGGTAGTTCAGGTTCAAGCTGAATTTCGGTAACATCATTGTTTGACTGATTCCACTCTTCCAATTCATGGCAGACACCAGTCATTAAATCCTGAACAAGAATACCTTGAGCTGAGATATGCTTTTGCAGCTCAATTAATTCATGCTTTACTTCCACAGCCTCCTCAGATATCCTACAATATCAAGACCAAACAAAAAAAAATTGTGTATATATATGATATCATTGAGGAAAGTGATTTAAGTGTTCAGTACTTTTATGTTTTAAGCCCTATTTCCCTGATTGAATTAAATTTCAAAACAAGTTAGTGGGCTAGTGCTTTGTGCACATCCCATGTTTAAGTCCACAAATAGCTTTGTGTAAATGGGTGTGTTGTTGATGCTAAAATAAAATCAATTTACTTGGCAATCTTTCAACAGCTTGAGCTTTCCCTGACAGCTAAACAAATAAAAATACTGTCATCTTGTTCCGTGTCTTCCACCACAGAATTCACTTCATTCTATAGAAACCTTAAACAAGCAATGCTCGCAACAGGAATGGTTTGATGACAGTGATTAATGTGTTCATTAAATAGGATTTTGGAAAATGTCACCATGACAAGGAAATTAGAGCACCGAAAAAAATAAATAAACCAGAATGTTATCCATGATAATCAGTTACCACTCAGTAAATCAATTTCTTTAAGGACCAGCTGGTATGGGTGTAAGAATAGAGGTGAAAAATCCATGATTCAACTTTCAACACAACTTTACAAAAACTTATCTGTGAAGTTTTCATTCCCATTTTATCCCAATTGAAATGTTTATATTTTTCCCCTGTTTTGAGACAGCTACTCAATACACAGTTCTAGTTAAAAAGTCTCCCATTCTTCCTATTCCTATATGAAAAATAACAAGATAAAATTTACAGATGAATTCTTAAAAAGAAATTACCAATCAAGGAAATAGACTGCATTACAAATAAAAAGCGCACAGATATATAAAGGTCCAGGAGTTCCTTGCTGGGTAACATCAAAGAATTGTGATACAACACAAATGCTAGTTTTGAAATGGGGGCAGATGGTAGAATAGAAAGAAGAAGGAACATTTTAATGTAGATGATATATGTTACCTCAAGAAAGCCAAGAACTTTGAGTGCATATTGCCACATAAATTCTCCACCGCATCCTTCAAATCTAAGAGCTCACAGCAAAGTTTTCTAATCCCCTGAAAAGATAGACAGGTTTCATCACCATTGATGATGATGCTAATCATGCTATCTAGTATTCCTTAGAAAGGAATTCACAGAACATGCTAGTAAACAAATAGCAGAATCTTACAACAGAACTAAAATTAGAAACATTTTGAATCAAAGCACGTCAATTACACTAAATTTCATCACATTTTATCAAAGAAAAAACATATGGCACAAAGTAATGCAGTCACTCTTTACTCTAGTAGTTCAGTAGAGATTTTTCCTTTTGTCTAAACCCAAACTTCAGGAGGAATAAAAGGCCATTGATAGATAGACATAACACATGGTTAAAAATAGACCAGCAATTCTCACATTAATAAATAATATTGTAGATTTATCCGAGTAATTAACATAAATCAGACTTAAGTATTGGTAGTAGATGGCAAATCAGGGTCTTGCTCTGGCTAATACATGACCACACTTGCTACTCACTTTGAATCCACACTTTGAAGCTCAAGCACAAGTCATAGAATTTGTGACCATGCTAGAATGGAGAATCATTTACTTCTATTTTATGTCAAAGTCAAGATCAGGATTTGCTCAGAGAACAAAGGCCCTAAGAAAACTCAAAAACCATGTATACCAAAATAAAAATCAATGCTTGAGTTACCAATAATCGCATGTTAACAAAAAAACAAACAAAAGCAAACTATGAGAATGCAGGGAAACCCATTTTGTGTGTTTGGTAACATTATCATGAAAGGGAGCAAAGAGAAGAGAAACAAAGTAACTCTGAAAAGAAAGAAGAAAGAGCGAACCTTTTCGGTGTGAGACTGATAGAGAGAGTCAACCTTGGATTGAGGAATGATGCTCTCAATGGAAGGAAAGTCATCTTCTTCCTCGCTACTCTCCATTTCTCTCTCCCTCTCTCACTGCAACGCTCTGCTCAACTCACAAGCAAGGTGAAACGCATACCCCGAAACAAAATTGATGCAAATTGGAAATTTTATTTTATTTTACTCTTTTTCTGAGAAATGGACACTGATTTTTTAATTTTTAATGTCGAAGAAAATTATAGTTGTTGTCATGTAAAGCAGAAAAAGATTTTTCAAATAACAAAAATATGTATAATTTTATTTTTTTAGAGGGAAAATGTGAGATGCGTTATTAACAATTTTATTACTACTGTGTGTTTAAAGATCTTAATATAATTTTTTATTAAAAATTATATTATTATTTAAAGTTATAAAAGTGCGATAAATATTTTTTAATAATAATTTATTTTTAGATGTTTAAAATTGAAAAGAAAATTTACAGAAATTTTAGATTAAAGAAATAGTTTGTCGTTCTAAAGAAATTAAAATTTATAACCTATGATATACTGATATACATCACAAAAGACCCTATTTTACTAAATTTGACCAACACATCGGAGTTATGCAATAATGTTTGCTTATTTGCTAGTTTTATAAGAAAAAACATTTATCAATTGATTTACTAATAATAAAAGTTTACCAACACTGCTCTCTTTTTTAAAATTATTTTAACATCTCTTGATTTATAAAACTAAATAAAAACTTATGAATAATTCATTTAATCGATAATAATATGTGATGTTATATTAAGTTGTTACAAAAATTTAAGAAAAGTTTGTAAAAGATAAAGGAAAAAAAATGAGTGTCAGGTAATTTTTGTTAAACCTCAAGAAAAATGAATAAAAATTTATTTTATGCTATAAAAACATAAGGCAATGTTTGGTTTGTTAAAATAAAAACAAAAAATAGAAGAAAAAATATATTTGGTTGGATTTTAAAAATACTTTTCTTGAAAACATCTTCAAACTTTAGCTCAAATTTAAAAATAAAAAAACTTTATTTTTATTTTTTTAAAATAAAAACACTTGAAAATAAGAACAATAAAAATACATTGACATTATAAATTTCATCTAATTATACTAAACATTGTTATATTTACCAACTCACAATTCATTTGACATTTCATTTTATCTTTTTATGGTAGATAATTGTTTTATTCTTCTTCACATTTGTTTCTCTTCATTTTTTTTTTCTCTCATAATTTTTTTTTCATTTTTGTTGAAATAGAGTGACAAAGTTTTTTACTTTCATCATTCTTATAAGGCTAAGTATATGATTTTCTGTCCCTATCCCTTTTTTTTTCAATTTTCATTTAGTTTCTGTCATTAAAATTTTAATGGGCATTATTACTTTTGATATTTTTATCTATGAATTTTTCAATTTTCCTATAATTTTGATGTCATTCTCTCTCTCTCTCACTTGAATTGGTATTCAATTTTTATATAATATAAATGTCATCTATATGTGACTTGTAAAAGTAGTAATTATTATATTACAGTGATATGTACATGATTTAAAATATTAAGTATTATACAATTTACTTGTCTTTTTTTTGTTTTTTGCTATTTTATATAATTTATCTTATACTATATATGCTATTTTTTATTTTTTAAATATTAAAATAAACATTTTTTTCATTAGTTTATGTCATGCTAAATATTAAAACAAATATTTATCTATATATTATTATTTTTATAATTTTTATATATTTTATTTATATAAATTGATTAATAAAGTCAAAAAATTTATAATTTATACTTTTTTTTTACTATTACACTTGTAGTTGCTATTTAAAAAATTTTATATTTATATTTTAATAATAATTTTTAAAATATAGGAATACAAATACGCATTATTAAAATATTTAAAATTAAATAAGACAAAATTGAGAAAAGTATATGCTTTTTAATTTGTTTTAAAATTATTTTTATTAATTTAAATAAATATATACAATATTAATAAATTTATATTAAAGAAACATGTACATCATATAGGATTTAAATTATCATTATATTTATAATATGTTTTTATTGTTTTTTAGTATTAAGATGCAATAGTGAAAATATTTAAATTTGTTCAATAAACAATACAATAAAATTAGCATTAATAAAGATATATATTATAAAAAATTTATAAAAATTTTTTATTAATAAAATATTAATAGTTAATTTTAAACTTTATAAAAAAGTAGATAAAACTATCGTACAAATAGTTAAACCAAGAGTATTTTTAATATTAAAAAAAAAATCAAACTAAACACATTTTTTAAATCTTGAAAATTTGAAAATAAAAGTAGAAAAAAAAATGGTTGTTGAAATCAAAGAAATCCTAAGTTTTGCATAAATTTAAACTCAAAATAAACTTAACAAGATAGTAAGGCTTTGTCACATAAGACAAAAATAAGAAAAGTAATAAAAATTGAAAGAAATAAAATATAACACCATTTGTCACTCAAAATAATATAGTGACAAAAAATTAAAGGAGGAAAAATAAAATTCATTGTAAATACTAACATAAACACTACAATCTTAAAAGTAGTTTAGATTGAATAAAAAAATTAAATATAAAAAAAATAACTAAACAAGATAAAATAATATATATGGAAGAAAGGTATGATAATCTCGATTAAAGTTTTGACCTTGATAAAAATTAAAATTAAAATAGTAAAAAATAGAATGAAAAAAATTATAATTTTCATGAACTCACGTAGCAATAGAATTAATTATAATACATGACATGAAAAATTTAATTTCATAGTGAGATATAAAAATAACTAAAAAAATGAAAAGAAATACAACTTAAGAAACAAATACTTGTCAAAATAGAAGTGTTAGCAATATATATTTTTAATTATTAATTAAATTTTATTAAAATTTATAAAACTGTGAATGACAATTATTAAATTAGGAGTGATAGATATTAAATTAAGAGTGGAATCTACATGTTTTTTTTCTGTAATTTTAATAAATTTTAATTAAAAACTAGAAGTTTGTTAAAAAATGTGTGATTAACATGTCTCCAACAAGCAATTCTCAAATGGGTATCTAAATTATAAAATAATAACTATAATTGTTGACTTTGAATTTGTTTAAATTACATATTTTTATTTAGTATACTAAAATTCAAACTAAAGTTAAAAGTTCTCATTTTTTTAAAATAAAAAATTTTAACATTTCATAAAAGTGGATGAATGTGCTATCCTTTTCAAATTAACTTCTAATTGCTTTTTTAACAAAGGCTCTAACATATTTTAAAACTTTTTTGTTATTAAAGTTTTGCAAGGTTATTATGCTCAACTTTAATACTAATATTTTTTTTATTTTGGATGTGTTAATCTTAAGTTAATCTAATTATATCTATAAGCAGTAAATTATTTAAAAAAGAATGCAATCATAATAACTAATAGTAAATGATGCTAACTTAAGAATTAGGTTAGCATTTTTTTTATAAACGTTAATATTTACAATTAATTAAATAGTACAAACTCACACATTATATGAGCGTTTGAATCTTTCAAATTTAATGATTGATAAAAATATATAAAAAAAAAAAATGAGACAAAGAAAACTTTTAAGGTAAATAAAAAAAATTAAGATTTAAAGATGATTTCATTTAGAAAAATTCAAGAGAAAAAAAATGAGTGAATAGCAACTAAGTTACTGTATATAATAATTTTTTCTAGATATATAAAATATAGAAACCTAAATTAGGTATTGAAAAATGGAAAAATAAAAATAAACTTTATTGGTATTAATGAATACTTAGGTTAATATCATTTTCTCATGCATGTATATTTATGTTAAAAATTATATAGTCTTTAGAAATTGTAACTTTGTCATATGTACTTAAATTGGTAATACCATGAGATGTCTATTGCATTTATAAATATGTGTAGATTAGTAATTATGGAAGCAAGTCATTAAATCAAATCAAGAGAGTTTCTAAAGAGTTTTGTGTTTTGCTTTCTTTATTCATTTCCTTAAAATGAGTCCCAAAAGTATAGTTAACATTAGTAAAAATGTGAACTTCTTATTTCAATTCCTAAAGTCAAAATGACAATTATGACAAGTGATGTATTTGTTTGAAAGAAACTCTTAGTTTTAATAAGGCATAAGAGATAGTGAAATAAGGATAGGAGGAGTATTTTGCAAAAAAAAATTAAACAAAACAAAATAGATCATATTGATCTTAAAAACTATTCATGTAATACTAGATCATGAAATGCTTGAAAAAATTTCGAATTAATAATAACAAAGAAAGTTTCACGGTTTCTTCACAATAAAATTTGACTCATTTAAAGTGATCAAATGTACAAGGTAAGAAAATAAGAGAACATTCACTATTAATTTAAAGTGAGTTAAATTTATAAGATACTTTAATATAAATCAACAATAAATTTTCCATTATGTCTTACTTTACACATCTTCATACTTCAAAAGATCTAAATTATTCAAAAAATGCTCGTAAAAAAAATGATAAGAAGAAAGATATGTTTCTTCAAAACCTAAGAGATGAGCTTAAATCATTACAAATGAAGGAAAAAATTTGTTCATGATTATTTTACAATAATCTTGGCATCTGTCAATCAAATGAGGCAATATGATAAAATTTTATAAAATAATAGTGTGATAAAGGAAATTATTTGAACTTTTTATTCAAAATTTGATTTTGTAGTAATAGTTATTGAACAATATCAAGGTGTGGAAACTATGACAATTGATAAACTATAAGGATCTTTGTAAATTTATAAAGAAATATTAAAAAAGATAAGACTACAAGTTAAAGCACTTCAAGCAAAGCTTTCCTTAAAAGATAAAAATTAATTGTATTATAGTTGTCTAGGTAGAGTAATTTTGGTCATAGTCATTAATAAATCTAGATTTTGATGGATTTATAGTTAGTTTTTTAGGAGAATTTTGATAGAAAATTGTAATTAGGAAGATAAAAATTACATAAAAAATATATTTGTGCATAATCAAAACAATTTTTGTTCCTAATTAGTCAAATTGTTGGATTTAATAGAGTTCTTATATAAACTTTGTTGTTGTATTAGTTTTGCACGAAGTTTAAAGAAAAAAAAACATGAGTTAGAAGCATTGAGAATGAAGAATAAC